ACCGCTCCGGAACATGAAGGAACACGTGATCCTTGCTTGCACTTGCTGTTGTACCATCACCCAAGTGCCCAAGTCAGAAACCCCGACAAACCTTACATGCTCTCCTTCTCTCCCCAAACTAATCAACAGCCTACAGATTCTCTCTTGAAAGTTTTCTAGAATCTACCCACTTCCCTGTATTCCTACCACTACCTCCTTAGAGAAGCCATGGTCATCTCTCGTGTGGATTACTGAAAAGACATCCATGGGGTCACCTCTCCTTCTTGCCAAACTGCAACCTGATAGTATTTGAAAAACACAACTCTGATTACATCACCCCCTGTCATTCCATGACTCCTCACTGCTTCAGGGCAAAGTTCAAACTAGTTAGCCTGGCTTTACAATTCCCAATCCTCTCACCCACTCACTTGCAGTGGGCTGACTTTATACTGATTCTCTCAGCATATCACGTAACATCATGTCTTGTCTCCCTCCACTCCTTCACACATGCTGTTACTTCTGCATGGAACACGGTTCACTTGCCTAGCACTTGCTTCGGGCTCAGCTCAGGGATTTCTCCTCCTTGAAGACAGCCCTGATCAAAATCTCCCAGCATGCCTTGGGACCCTGAACTTCTACAATCACGACACACACGCTGATGAAGCCACTGGTCCTTGTGAATGACCCAGCTGAGAGGTACTGCTGTGGCTCCTGAAGCGTGGCATTAATACGTGCCTACACATAAACTGGGAGCTCTGGTAGCGTAGTGCCTAAGGCACTTGACTGCTAACCAGAAGGCTGGTGGTTCAAACCCACCAGCCGCTCCTCGGAAGGAAGATAGGGCAATCTACTTCTGTAGGGATACTGCCTCGGAAACCCAAGGAGGGGTCGCTATGAGTTGGGTCCGACTTGAGGGCACATAACAACAACAACAACAACAACAACACATAAACTATTCATTGAACTGTAGGCTGATTAGACATAAAAGGAAAATGAAATCCTCAGGTGACATTTACTGACTACTTGCTGTATATAAACATCAGGCAAACAATTACTCTTTCTTAATAACCAGTTGTCACTGTCAGTCAAGGATTCCTCTGTGTTCCTCACAAGATTTTAATCCTTGTGGCTAGGGACTGTATCATAACTTCTTTTTAATCTATCTCCAAAGTCACAAGAGAGCCTGATATACAGCAGGCACTTAGTAAAGGTTTGTGGAATAAATAGGGGGAAAAAAATCTTAAATAATCTATTGAGTCTAAATAAATAGGCCATGAAAAACAGTTAACAAATCCCATCGTTTATTAGGCATCTACCGAACTGAACAGGAAAAGCAGGTACTGAGAACAGTGCCACCTAATTAACCTCACTATCTAGATCTGTAAACAAGGATGATGCTCCTTCTTCACCAGACGATTTTAACAATTAAATGAGAAAATGAACATGAAGCTCTTATCACAGTACCTGGTACACCACTAGTGCATAATAAATGCCAACTAGTATTGTTACAATCATGGGTACACGCCTCACACCCAAAACACTGAACACATTGTGCTTTCTGCTTTGACATACTCTTCTTAAATCTCTTAATTTTTGAAATAAACCTCTGAAGGTTATAGTAAAAGGAAAATTCGGTAACTGATTGTGTCATAACGTCACTGTTCCCTGACTCCTGCATTAAGACAGAAACACATGTCACAGACTGGTTCTAAACTACCCAAGTCATCATAACTCTAAAGTCTTATTCCTGCCTAGGGATTTCTATGCAGTTAGAGATAAAATGTGCACAGTGATGCTCAGAATTCTCCCAGCCGGTGAGAGACGGGGACTAAGAGAGTGACACAGATTCTTCAAGGACGGGAAGAAATGAAGAGCAAACCACTACCGCTTAAAACGCTACCGCAACTCTCACTAAAAAATGGGTAAGGGTTAATGAAAAAGGGAACAGGAAGTAGCAAAGGTGTAAAGATAAGCACAGCTACGGGAAGGGAGAATACAAACACCAACTAAGCTCACAGCCACATGAAACACACAGGCCACTGGCTCTGTGTTCTAAAAGGCAAACTTATGAAGCTCTTCTCCTAGAGGAAAAGGGCGGGGAAGGGAGGCCACACTGATGCTGGATTTACCTTTGGACTTGTGCCTGGGTTTATGAGGTTTTTTACCTGAAGGAAAGAGAGCTAAATCCAAATCATAAGAATGAAATTTTTAAAAACTCCTAAATTATAAAGCTCTACCAGTGTTTTATTCCTAACACTTTTCTCTCTCCAAAGCATTCATGAAGAATAGAACGTCTCATAATAGAAATGAAAATGCAGAGACATGTGTGACCTTTCAGACTGTCATGAATAACTCGTTATAATAAGCGTATGATTTTAGATCCACAATGCACGAAAGACAGTGTTATCTACAAAGACTGGACTACTTCCAGTGATTAATCCAGCAAATTATCTAACTGAAGCCAAACAGTACCCTTACAGAAATATTATCTAAGCATAAATTTCTATATATTAAACTGTCCTAAGGCACACTGCCCAGAAAACTAAACATTAAAACATTACATTTTAAAACTTTACAGAAGAAAATCAAGGCAAACATTTATGTGAAAGTGAATATATGAATATATGAGCTGGATAGTACTTAGCATGTAGACATGTGTAGTAAGTTCAGGAAAATCTAAACCCCGGGTAACATGTTTGGGCACTACTTCTTCAGAAAGACTAAAGGTGTAAGGGAGCTCTGGTAGTACAGTGCCTAAGGCACTTGGCTGCTAACCAGAAGGCTGGCGGTTAAAACCCACCAGCCGCTCCTCGGAAGGAAGGTTGGGCAATCTACTTCTGTAGTGATACTGCCTTGGAAACCCAAGGAGGGGTCTCTGTGAGTCAGGTGCAACTCGATGGCACCTGACAACAACAACAAAAGATGTAAAGCAACAACAAAAATACTTTTATCAAAGAGTAAAACAAAGTATTATCACTCAAATTGTCTTGTCTGATCTAGAGCCCTTGTGCAGTCAGCTCTGTATAATGGTGTCCCCAACAGAAGAACTAATTCTGCATATTTGGTATTTATGTTGCTGGGTGCTAACATGCTGTCAACTCATAGTGACCCAAGTGACAGAGCACAGCTACTCCACAGACCTTCCTAGATTGTAATTTTCAGAGGAGCACTTTGCCAGGTCATTCTCCTTTGGAGTCGAAGGCTGGGTTTGAACCACCAACCTGGTGGTTAGCAGCTGAGTGCTTACCCATTATGCCATGAGGACTCTTGACATTTGGAAGAATACAGACTGTTTGCTATGTAAACAACCCTGCAAACTTTTACGTTTAGGAGTATTTTTTTTTTCTCTGAGTACTGTGTAATTTCCTTCTGTCCATTGCCTTGAATTATTCTATTTCAAGGCAAAACTGCATGGTGCCTTACACTCAATTTTTACTGAAAAACTAAAATCAGGGAATTTCTATCTTAAACTCTCATTTTATTTGATGACTATGTATCTACCATATATTTGATGTCTACAATATAACAAATGCTTGCTGAAAGTGAAGATGACTTGAAGCACTTACTGATGAAGATCAAAGACTATAGTCTTCAGTATGGATTATACTTCAACATAAAGAAAACAAAAATCCTCACTACTGGGCCAAATAGTAACAACATGACAAATGGAGAAAAGGCTGAAGTTGTGAAGGACTTCATTTTACTGAGATCCACGATCAATATCCATGGAAGCCGAGGTCAAGAACTCAAAAGACCTATGCATTGGGCACATCTGCTACAAGAGACCTCTATAAAGTACTGAAAAGCAAAGATGTCACCTTGAGAACTCAGGCACACCCGACCAAAGCCATGGTATTTTCAATTGCCTCGTAAGTATGCAAAAGTTGAACAATGAATATGGAAGAGTGAAGAAAAAGTGCTGTCTTCAAACTGTGGTATTGGAGAATACTGAACATACCATGGACCGCTAGAAGAACGAACAAATCTGTCTTGGAGAAGTATGGCCAGGATGCTCCTCAGACTCGAGAATATTGAGATTTCATTTTATTTACTTTGAACATGTTATCTGGAGGGATTAGTCCCTGGAGAAAGACAACATGCTTAGTAAAATAGAGGGTCAGTGAAAAAAAGGAAGACCCTCAAGAGATGGACAGACACAGTGACTATGACAATGATTGTGAGGATGGCGCACAACCGGGCAGTGTTTCGTTCTGTTGTGCGCAGGGTCACTTTGATTCGGAACAGACTCCACAGCACTTAACAACAACAACAGTGTATCAAATTAGAGTTATATATGTGACATATTTGATGACTCTATAAATAAATACTTACACGTATATAGGTAAGTATAATATAAGTAAAACCTAACAATATCCATAAGTATTTATAGTCATAAAATAAAATGAGAATATAAGCCAGAATTCTTTTGGTTTTTTAAGTGAAAACTGAAGGCAAGACACCATGCAGTTTTGCCCTGAAATACAAAAGAATAATCAGGCATTGGAAAAACAGAAGCAAATAGACAGTACACAGAGAAAAAAGATATCCCTAACTTAAAAGGTTCGCAGGCATGATGAATTAAATGAAGAAACAGACTGATAGGAAACAATCTGTCCTCCCAAATGATGAAAGTCTCCTGACTGATGAGGCTCAATAATGATGCATCACTAATTAAACAACTTGTACCAATCTCTGTGAATACAATATTGTTTAATGAGGAAAGCCCTCATTTTGCTTTAAGTATAATCCTATTATTATTAAGTGTAATAATAAGCTTCTCACCAGTAATAAACACTCCAGGACTCAATCTGCCACTCATACACACATCTTTAAAGAGCTGCTATAGGTTTTCAAGGGCAGATCTGAAAAACTGAAGTGAACACACTCGGAAGCATTTGAACGGGGCTGTGATGCAGCAAGTGGACATAGCAGGATTAATTCTCACTGCTAATGTGGTCAGCGAGAAACTGCTGACACATAACCAGTCGTTAGCGTAAGAGTTCTAACCGCCTTCCTCTTACCTTTCACTTGTGGTACGTAGGGTACTGACAACCTCTCAACGCTGTACCCACTTCCACCTAGTGACTCCGCGATCTTATTAGTCAGAAAATACAAAGTTTTGTCTTGCTTCTCTAAAGACTTTGGAAGCCTGTCAGGTTGATCAAAACAATTATTCAGTATTATTATTTAAAGTACTGGACAAAATGAAGTTAACTGCAAAACATTCCAGAGCAAAAACTCTAATGTTCTAAATACAAAAACTACTTACAC